TTCGAGCTTAAGAACGCTGAGATATTTTTAAATAACTGCTCAGTATTTATTTAGAATAGAGGCTGAAGGCTATGGGGAAGAAAGCCCCTTTCAGCTCTATGATGCAGAACAACTGAGTTCTAGTTCCAAACTCCTGTGTATAGTTCATTCAGCAAACCAAAAGCTATGCAATTACCCTGATACCATGGGAGATTATTCTAGATGCTGTAAGTCTCTCTTCCCTGTCACCCTATTCACCCAAGTTGGTTCTGAAAATGTTTCTTCTAACAATACACAGTCCCCTCCCTGAGAATTCTGGCAACTGAATTACCTTCAACTTGCCATACGTCCATATGTATCTTATGACTGGCACCTCCAGGCCATTTGGCTCCATCCTGACGTTTCTAACACAGCATGCTGGTGCTGTACCCAGAGAATAAGAACACTTCCACAGGGCTAGTTTTTGAGAAAGAAATGATGAGTACGATGAGTACGTGGAATTTGAATCACCAGTACGTCACCCATGTGGATCGTTTAGAGCAGGAAGATCACATCCTATATCCTAAAGAGGGACTATTTTTTTTAATTTTTAATTTTATTTATATATTTATGTATGTATGTTTGTATGCATTTTTCTTAAAAATTTTTAAAGATTTGTTTATTTATTTTAGAAAGAGAGTATGCACACACATGCACATGAGAGTGGGGGTGGGATGGAGGTGGTGAGAGGCTCTTGAGCAGAATTCCCGCTGAGTGAGGAACCCCACACCAGGCTTGATCCCATGACCCTAAGATCATGACCTGTGCCAAAATCAAGGGTCTGATGCCCAACCAACTGAGCCACCCAGGCGCCCCTGAAGAGGATTGTTAAAGTGGATTTATGCCAAGTCCTGCTGAATGTGCTGGATCTGGATATATGCACACAAAGATACGTCCCAAGCAGGATGGGAATCATTGACAAATGCACTGCTAGACTCCAGGGATTTAGGGGGAGGTTTCAGGTCCGTATGGGAGCTAGCTGGTGACTTGTGTATAATCTCAACATTACTTTCTCTAAAGCTTTTCAGTGACTTTCTGTGGAATCCTTGGTTTTTTAGCAATCTCATAATTTAGTAGAGTTTTCTATAGCAAATAGAGCCCATTTTTAAATCTGTGAAAACTGCTGCAGCCAACAACATGGACACAACCACTAATGGTTGCTCAGTTAGCCTTTAAGCAACTACTCTTCCTGGTTTATAGCAAAAAAATCTGATGGAGGAAATCACTGGTACTGTGTCTGATATCTAAGATAATTTAAAAAATCTGTAATGAGCATCAATTGCTGGAAAAAAGAATGATTTTACCTACTTCTTTTACTTAGATCTTAATCTTTCCCAACTGCCCTCTAGGGCCAAGGAGTTCTCCTTGGTACCTCAGTTCATATAAACCCGTGTAAAGAAACACACACATTAGATTATAAAAGGGTGGTTTCTTAAATGGTTTTGAGTTGTAAATAATCCTTAAAAATAACTTTCTCACTTCAAAATGCAGACATTACACTGTATTTATAAAGACAAAAAAAAAAACAACAACCAACTAGAAACAATCTAAATGCCCAAACCCAGAGAAAAGTTTAAGAAAAATATGATATGTTCATATTACATCATGTTATGAAATCATTAAGCATGATTTTATAGAGTTTTAAATAGTTAGAGATTATTCTTATTAAATAAAAGTCTGTTTGATGCAAATTGTTACACAGTATGTCACAAGTCGCTATGTGTGTATTGTAAAGAGACGGTCTGGTATGTGCTGAAATGTTTGTAGTGTTTTCTCTGGTTGATGAGAGCAGGGGTAATTTTTTTTTAATATGATTCATATGCTAATTTTTTTCTTTTCTTTTTTTTTTTTTTTTTTAGATTTTATTTGTTTATTTGACAGGCAGAGATCACAAGTAGGCAGAGAGGCAGGCAGAGAGAGAGGTGGGACTCGATCCCAGCTGGGATCATGACCTGAGCCGAAGGCAGAGGCTTTAGCCCACTGAGCCACCTAGGCGTCCCATACATATGCTACTTCTATAATGAGGAAAAAATAAGCAACCCAAATGTGTTTTTTCTACAATACTGAGGGGATTTTTCTCATGCCCAAGAAATATATCCCAACAATTACACTTGTGGCACAGACAAATGTGAAAGGGAGTAAAGGATTTGCTCAAATACATTGATATTGTTAGAAAATGTTTATCTAATGCAAATACAGAACCAAAAGAAATGCATAGACATTGACCATTATAGGGATATGCATATGTATAATTCTTCCTGAATTTCTAAGAAAAGACTCACAGCTCTATAAAGTTGGCTACTTGGATACAACATAAGGGAGACACAGGGGTCCCTGTCATTTCCAAGATTAGCAAGGATTATCATCACCAATATGTCAGACACCCTCTCCTTCAAAACAAACAAACAAACAAACAAACAAAAAAAAACAAAGAGAGAAAAGGGAAGAAAGAAAGGAAGAAAGAAACAAACAAACAAGAGTCTGTAGCAGTTTTTAAAAGTTCTTAAGGAAGAGTATCCTCAGCCCATATAGTATGAACTAAGAGTTAAGTGCTATTACAATAATCAAAGAACACTACGGTAACTAGAAATTAAGATACAGTCTTGAAATCTTCCCTTGGAAAACATGTTTTCATGAAATTCAACTGAATAAAGTTATTCTCTATCACCAATAATTGTGTGGTAGAATGAAAAAGCTAAAGAAGTGACATGCAAGTATTTCCTCTATACAGTGAAAAACAGTCTTCTCTAATTCCAATACTGAATCATCATGTAAATACATATCAGTAAATAACGTATTATAGTTCATAAAAAGGGATTACCTGTACTGAGTGAAGTTTTAAGATCAATATCCCATCGTATTATTTACACTGTAAAAACACAATGTATGTAAAATTTTCTCACAAAAAATACCTTTAAAACATAAGATTATTAGATATGGTATAAAAAGCCAAAAGAACAACCTGGACATGCTAATAAATAGTTGACAAAAAGTTCCAAAAATTGTGGACTGACATTCTCATAAAATATTTGAGTAAAGGTTTAATGCAGGTGTTTCATTAAAAAAAAAATACAAAACAAAACAAACTCTAGTGGCACCTGGGTTAAGCATCTGACTCTTGGTTTCAGCTCCTGTCAGATCTCAGGGTTGTGAGATGGATGTGAGATGGAGCCCTCCATTGGACTCCACCCTGGACCTGGAGCCTGCTTGGAATTCTCTCTCTCCTTCAGCCCCTCCCATACCCACCAACCTCTCCAAAACAAACAAACAAACAAACAAACAAACGAACAAAAAGGAACTCCACAAAATTATTTAATAATGGTTATCTAATCCAAAATAACAAAAGCAAACCCATTAGAATGGGTTCAAACATTTATTTGAGTGCTATAATTATTTATTTAAAAAGAAAGTGACCACAGATGAAAATCTTAATTGACTTCATGAAAATGTTATATTTTGTAATGATGGGGATGAAAATCTTATTAATGGCTTTCTAAAATGTATGGTAGGAAGGGTTTATCAAACTTTGAGACTTTCATATTAACTTGTGAAATTTTAAGGACCTAGTAAGATCTTTGGTAGATCTACTTTTTATTTTGCAATCTTATTTACATGAAAATTAAAAAGAAACAGACCTAATTTTTACATGGACATAAAACTACAAATATTGAAATTGAATAGTTTTATGCTAGAGGGATCTTGGAATTATCATGGTTTTTGTGACAACGATTTCTACTGGCATAATTATAAGGCCAATAAAAAAAAACTGATGGGTTTCTCTATTTTGGTTTAGTTTGATTGGAAATTTTCAGGAAAACATTCCTGAGTTGCTATTTTTCTTTATTTCTAACACTCTGCTTTCCCTGACCCCTTATTACACATTTACTGACTCAGAGACTATTTGGAGAGGACACCTGTTTTAAACGGATCCACAGGAAATACCTATGTTGTCTTTTCATACTCTGACCCTGCATCTGGTTGGCTGAAATGTGATTATGATTTAAAAAAAAAAAAAAAAATGCTGCCCACAGACCGAGGCAACTTCACTGTGACAACATTTACTGGAAGGCAGAGGGAATCCAGTTTATATTTATTTTCCTTCCACTAAGCTCTGGTATTGTACGGTAGGAAAAGAAATAAGTAAAAGGGCAATGTCAGTTTAACCTTCAAAAGATTAGTATTAAGTTACACACCGGGTTTTGCTTCCAAATTCAGAACGATTTGTTTTGAAGATGAACGCAATCTTCAAGCAGAAACAGTTATCTGACACCCCTTTCTCTATAACCTTTTACTTATAAACCTCCTGTCCAAAGTTCATGGTCTATCCTGTTGTATCACATATTAATATGCTATTTATAAATCTCCTGTGGAGGAGGAGCACAGGGCAGTCCGTCCGCTGGAATAGAATTTATAAGGTAATTTCAGAGTGATTAAAAGTCTTATCAGTAAAAATCTAGTTGGGTTCAAAATAAATAGTCACTCGGGAGCCCCCCCGCGCGGATTTACACCCCAAGTCCAGGCCTCCACCGGTCCCTCCGCACGGAGCATCCGCCTCGGCCAGCAGGAACCATCTCCGCCGCAATCCCCCCCGGCTGCGAGGTTTGTCCCCACTGGGGTCCCCTCTGTCAGGACACCCCCCCCACGCCCTCCCGCTGCCCCCGCCTTGCAGATACCACCCGCGGCGGCTCCACAGCGCGCCGCCCGCTTCCCCAGCCCCGGCCGCACTCGGAGGCTGCCCACCGACCCAAAGGACGCCTAGGGGGCGCCCCGGCCGGGTGTCCCGGGGCCCCGCGAACGCAGGAACAGAATGACGGAGATGACGAAAGAGCTGACGCCACGGCGCCAGGCCGTGGCCGCCGCCTGGGCCCGCCACCGCCACCGCCGCCCCGCCCGCGCAGGTCGCCAGGCGCTCCTGGTCGCCGGTCCCGCGGGGCCAGCCCGCCGCAGACCCCGCCCCACTCCGCCCGGCTCCGCCCCGACCCGGCCCGCCCCGCGGCTGGCCGCGCCAGGGTTCCCCCGGCGCCCGCCCCCGCGCGCCCTGCGCCTCTAGCCTTCCCTCTTCGCCTTCCAGCCTGGCAGGCCTTTCGCGAACATGGCGCTTGTCCCGTGCCAGGTGCTGCGGGTGGCGATCCTGCTGTCCTACTGCTCTATCCTGTGCAACTACAAGGCCATCGAAATGCCCTCGCATCAGACCTACGGCGGGAGCTGGAAATTCCTGACGTTCATTGATCTGGTAAGGCCTTCCGCTCCCCTCCCGCGTCCGCCCTGCACCCCGAGTTGGTGTGTGTAGGGGGGGGTGGGGTGGGTGCGCGGGCACCTGCGCGCGCGCGCGCCCCTCCAGCCTCCACCGGTGTGCTCGCCTCTCCCTCAGTACTTGCGCATAAAGGCCTGGCTGCCCCCGTAGCAGCACCTCTGAACCACCCCTTACGTGGTAGCTGGGGCACGAATGGAAGTGGGCACAGCCAGGTGGTGGGCTCTTTGGAGGGGAACACAGACCTGCTTCTAAGAGGTGACACGGAAGGAGTCTCAACTTAACAAATGGATCAGACGACCTTGATCTGGAGTGGCCTCAGACCCATTCGCCTGCAGCGTGCTTTCCAGAGCACCCACCGTGGGATCAAGTTGCAGCAACTGAAGGAAACTGGGTATTGTCGAATTACTTGGAGCTCCTCTGAAAGGATCAAAATCCTCATAAAGAAGAGAAAGCCCCTAATAAAGTTGTCTCCTTTGCATCTGTTTTCTTGCCCATTGTCAGTAATTTACTTCTAACCTTTCTCCCAGAAACATTAGGTGAGAGGTTTTCAAAATGCGTTACCAGTATGTCTTTACACTCCTATTTCCAACTGAGTTTTCAGTAGTTTGCATAAGCAGCCCTGTTGGCACAACAGGATAGCCTTGGCAGTTGCAGTTTTTTGTTTTTTGTGTTTTTTGTTTTTTGTTTTTTTAAAAAAAGTTTATCTACTTCTGGTACTAAAAAAGTTCAGAGCATCAGAATATGAGCATTAGGCCCAATTATGACATGGGGTGAAATCTAGGAGTTTAAAGGGGAAAGGCGACTAATTTAGACTTGGTGAAACACACTCAACAATGACCAAATATGGGTAGAGGGTTAAACAAATCAAGGAGTTCCAAGGACTAGAGATAATGTAGAAACAAATCCTGGGACAGCACAACTGCCCATCCAAGATTATACACAAGGTTGGCAGATAAGCAAGGTTATAATCTCTAATCGTTGACCCTCCCTTTTGATGAGGAGAACATGATACCTGTGTTAAGGTATTTCCAGAGGCTTAGGATCCCTCAAAGAAATGCAGTCAGAGGGCCTTTTTTTTTTTTAAGAAACACCACTTCATATTTGTTTCACGTTAGATACTTTCAAAGAAGAATTTAAGCACTTTTTCTCAGCAGTTTCCAAACCATGTACATGCCTTTGGTCTCCAAGACTTCCCAGGGCATAGAGGGTTTCAAGGTTTCAGTTTTCAGATTCTCAGCTTCTCTTCCTCGAAACTGATCTGCCTCTGAACATGGATAATGCCTGTCAGTTCTCCTTCCTTTTTCCTCATTCATCCAAGGGGTGAGCACATGACAAGGCTCTGTGCTGTATTTATCTGTTCCTTTTAGCATTCAGAATACAGACTGTCACCAGGACTATTTTCACATTTGACTGAAAAAAACGAAGTCAGGCTTATTTTGACAGAAAGTCTTATTGGGTTGATTGGCTTGTCAATGAGAGTGGGCTCTGCCAATTATGGGATAGAGCAGACATTTTCCATAGATTGAGTGAAATCTGCAGCCCTGAGGTTCTGATAAATATGTATCAGAGCATTTGAAATCATGTTCCTTTTTCAAGTGTTTAAACTTCTGTGAAAAATGTTTAGATGTTATTTAAAAATATGTGCATAGATTTTCGGAATTCTTTCAGAGGCTATGCAAATAAAATTCCTCTTGGATCCCTCCCTTTTCCCATTCCTTAATCAGATCTCACTTAGAGCTGGCCCACTTTGGTGTCACCAAGGAGCAGTGCTGAGCTGAAGTATTGTTGGAGACCCTACCAGGACCATGGGAGCTATGGATAGTTTTCAGAAGCACCTTTGTATTAGGAACAGTTTTAGGGGAGTGAGGGTGGAGGACAGCAGGTGAGAGGGGTAGAAATTGGGGTATCCATTAACCTGTGAGAGATGACGACTTCTCACGTTGGGCATTGCTTACTGTGTGTTAAATAACAAGGCTCTCAAGAAACAATATACTTCCCATAACCTTTGTATGACATGATAGCACAGTAGAGGCGATTTGACTCTGCGGAAACTGCCATACAGTTTCTATTTTAGAATTTGATGACGGGATGTGCCTGCTTTAAGTATTTAATCACCACAAACATACTTTTATCTCCTAGAATTCAGGCCATAAATTCAAACTTGATTCCGTTTGTTTCATATTTAGATTCAGTTTTTGTAGGGCCTTTAGCCTATTCAGACTTTTTACTTTCTGTGACTTCTGATTGAAACCTAATAATTATCTTTAATCAAGAGTTCCTATGAGAAGGTCTGTCTAGACTGTATTCATAAAAACATTCATGCAAAGTGTTATTCTTTTAATGATTAGAGATTTAGTTTTTAGAGCTTATGCACTGTAAAGTTGTTGAAATAGTCTCCTGCACGGTCCTTAGTAATGACATGGAAAAATTCGGCTACTCTAATATACCTGACTTCTCATTTTTTTGCATGTTTAAAATAATCTTGATTACTTAGTGCCTTGGACAGTTTTAATGATTCTAAGCTCATTGGAGCAATTTTGGATGAGGGTTTAGCTTCTAAAACTTTAGTGAGAAAGCCCTTTTTCTAGCCAACTTGGACTGCAGAGTCAGGAATTATCCTGGTGGCCACAGTCTGATTCCATGGTCCACCTCATCAGTTTACCAGAACGTCAATCAGGAGTCTCAGGCCACTTGTATCCGGGACCAGTTGGTTCTGGGGCAGTGGCCATTTCGGCTATATCCATATCTTACACTGAGGGTCAGAGTCATTGCAATAGAATCAGATTTCATGGTTAAAACCTGAAACACAAGTTTTTACTATCAGTAATCCTACCCTGTTCTTCCCCTAAGAACTTCTAGCATTGAAAAAACTGTAAGAGAACTCAAGTGTTTCGAAAATTCAAGTTAGTAAATAGAAATGGAACCCTGTCTTGGTGTGTTAAGCAGACCAATGAGCCCTCAAAGATGGCTACATCTTAATCCTTTCGTACCTGTGAGTGTATTAGGTTACACAAAAAAGGAAATTAAGGTTGCTAGGCAGCTGACCTTAAAATAGGGAAGTTATCCCAGATCATCCATGTGACCCAATATAATCACAGAGGTTCTTAAAATGGAAGGAGGCAGAAGGGAAGAGTTGGTTGGAAGAAGATGTGACTGGAAGAAAATCACAGAGAGACACAACTTTGCTGGGTTGGAAGGTGAAGGAAGGGGCCAAGAGCCAAGGAATGTGGGAGGTGTGTAGAAGCCAGAAAGAACAGAAAGTAAATTCTTCTCTAAAGCCTTGAGTAGAAACCAAGTCCTGCTGATGTCTTGATTTAGCCCAGTGAGACCCACTTGGGATTGTGACCTCCAGAATTATAAAATAATGAATCTGTACTGTTTAAGTCACTAAATTTATGGTAATTTGTTATAGCTGCAATAGAAAACTAGTATACCTGGTTTTAAATCCTCCGACCCAGAAAGAAACTTAAATGTTGTCATACTTATGCAATGACTCAGCTAGTTCTTTATGTATATTAGATAACTGGTTAATTTTAGCTTTAGCTTTAACCAAAATATAGGTTTTTGCCTACTGCATCCATGAAACTATGCAGAGGAGACATAACAATGGGCACTATGAGAATCTATAAAAACTGAACAACATGGGGAAAACTAGATCTTTTCTTTACTGTGAAGTATTTTAGAATCTATCGTTATGCAATAGGCCATGTCAGGAGAAGGAATACTCTCTTAACCGAAATAAGACAGAAAGACAGAAAATCTATATGAACTAACGTTTAAATAGCTCCTTAACCAGTATCACAGCTGATGAATTTTCTTGAAATGATGCAGATTCATTCACTTATTTGCTGATTAAAGGATAATTCCCCAACTTATACAGTGATTGCTCCCAAAGATAGTAAAAATGAAGAATCGGAATAAAACCAGAATAAATAAATTAAAAGAAAAAGGCAATTGTATGTTGAGACCTCAATGTAGTGCGGGAGTGCAATAGGTGTTTAGTAAACATTTGAATAAACAGAAACTTTCCAAATATTCAATGAATTTTCTTGTCCTATTTCCTCCTAAAACATTCAGAATAAGAGGGATTTTTGAAACATACCAACCATAATTTTCTTTAAATGTCTATGGTGCAATGTCTAACACATCAATCAGAATCAACTTCTCTGAAAAACATGAGCTGGACATTTGTTATATAAAAAAGTAAATTAATATTGATACCGAATTTAAGACCTTTTGATTTTTAAAGACTGATACAGAAATAGGCTATCCCATTGGCTCAAATTTGTAGTGTTCACCATTGTGAGGGTTCTAGTGACCTAGGTCTCCGACATATTTATTGCTTGTCTTGTCCTAACTTTTCCTTCATGCATGGGCAGAGCACTGTTTAGACCCCGCCTCCTCCAAATGCGGTCTGAGGGCCAGTAGAAGTGACCTTATCTGGGAGCCCGTTAGAACTATGGAACCTCGGGCTCTACTCCAGACCTTCTGAGCAGAATCCACACTTTTAGTAAGATCATTATGTGACTGCTTGGCATGTTCTAGTTTGGTAAATGCTGCTCTAGGCCACACTGGTTTTGTATTATGACTTAACATGGAATAACTTGTAGGTTGCAGTCTCAGCATTATTTCTGCCCACTATATTTAAAGTATATTTAAACATATTTCGAAACATATTTAAAGTGACTTCCACTGTGGCATAATTAAAAACATGTTGTAAAAAAATTACAACTTAAAAATAAAAGAGAAATATGTATTAAGTACTAGGGAGAGGTTATTTATTGAAATTGAAAAACAAATTTAGGTAATCTTCAGGGCAACCAAGGGAAAAAAGAATACATACTTGATTGTGTTGTCCTTAGCATTGGAATAAAGGAAGCATAGCAATTTATCAGGAAAAATAGAGTGGTTCTTTCCAGGCACTGACTTTTCAGGGTTATTTATCCCTCAGACTGTTTTATAAAGGACATTGGGTAGTG